CAGGTCTAAGAGATGTGATTCTAAACTGAATAAATGTGTCAGATATGATAATAAATTTGGCACAAATCTATGTAAAACTGTCAGACAAAGGTTTCCAAATGTTCAGATGATCTAGAGGTCAGAAAAGCAGAATAAACATGTGGCTAACCTATGGATACCCTGCACACAGCATTTGCAATGGACATATGTCCAACTTTATCTCTTAGGATCCTTCCCCCAGAATGGGTCACAAATAGAGAACAGGCCTGCTTTCATCTTTAGTATGAATGAATATATGTGCTGACAATGTAACAGTCAACAGGGTCAACAAGCTCATTGCAGCAATCCTACTTTTGCACATATTTTACCCTCCAATCAGCCCCCAAGCAAAGAGGCACTTACAAAAACCTGATTACAATTATCAGCTGAAACATAGCAGCCAAACTCTTTGGAAATGGTCTCCAACATATGCTATGTCATGAGCCACATTCAAATATAATGACTAAAAACATTCCCAATAACTGTTTAAAAAGTGATAAAATTACATCAAGCAGGTATGTCCAGCATGATTTCATGTTTATGATTAGAGCTGAGTTTCTCAATCCAGGTTCAACAAAACCCTAGGGTTTTTCTGCCATTGCAGCAGATTTATATTCACCCAATGGTGGTTTTCCCTTTCCTCCTTAAGCTGCTAACTATCCACTCAGCTATTCACTACCATTGGCTCCTGATGTCACACTGGAGGAAGCAGACTAGAAGAATGGCTGGACTCGCATTTTGAGCCTGGGCTGCCTGGGAGCTAAATAGTCACTGGCCAGCGCTAACAGAGCAGGTCTACAGATCCAAAGTTGGTGAGGATAGTGTGTGCATGCTGTGATCGAGGGCAGAAGGTAAGAAGCACCTCAAACATCCCTGCACACTGTTACTCCTCACCATTTAGTAGTCATAATACCCCAGTGCTCTATGTGTGTCTTAGAGAGTTCACAGTGGACTTCTGAACATCAATTCAAAGTTAAACTTTTTCCTTGAGCACCAATGCAAAGTTAAACATTTCCAGAAAACACCAATGCAAAGTTGGAATTTTGCAATAAATTCCAATGCAGAGTAAGTTTTTTTCAAATAGAAACAGTGCAAATAAACTATTACCACTGAGCACCACTGCAGTGTTTTTGTGTCTCTGTCATTCAGATATTTAGTATGTAATTTTGCTTTATATTTTATTAGTATTTATTATCTATACGAACGTACCGCAAGCTGTAGATGAGAACATGTCAGGGGTTCTCCAAGATATCTAAATGTTTTCAGGGTTCCTCCAGAGTACAAAGGTTGGGGAAAGCTGAGTCAGAGGTTGTTGTGAATCAAGAACCAGTAACATTTGGGGGCATAATTATTAGAACAGTTTATATTTGGTGTGAAGACTCTGGGACTGCAGTAATAAGTATGGCACTTTAGGAATCATTATTAGGGTAAGTGTTATGATTTTAGTAGGGCTGGTAATGATTCAAATTTTCATGTTCGATTAATCAAAACATTTTTTAAATCGATCGAACAATTTCGATTAATTATAAACGCACATACAGATCCAACTATATTGGCCTATACACATACAGCACAGCAATTAAGTAATAAAATGAACTAGGATCACACTAATCTAGCACATTATTAATCTCACGTGCCCCACTCAATATGGCCGCCGCTTGAGTGGGGCAACTCAGTACAATAACGTGCTGGATTAGTATGACCCTAGTTCATTTTATTACTTCATTGCTGTGCTGTATGTGTATTTTAGGGTTTAAATGTTAGGCCAATTAATACCCGACATGGCCTTAAAGTTTTAGATAAAATGAGCAATATTTAATATACCCGAGTTCTTTCGCCATCTGTGTCCCATTGGGGAGTTATCCCTTTACTTAATGTCAGGAAGACACAATGTGAAGTGAGAGGCAATCTGAAAGTAAAGAGGAACTACTTTCTTAACAGTTGTAACTGGAACAGGTTTTCATTCTACTCCTGTTCCAATGGCAACTCAAATACTTGGCTTTTTCCTGACAATGACAATAGTCAGCAGGTCAACTACAAAAAGGGTGAATCTCCTTAGCGGGAAAACAATTAAAAGTATTATTTAACGTTTTGACGCTGGTGCATTGTGTTTGTCACAATACACATTTTTTTATACTAATAAAGTACAAACAATTATATAAAGGCAGCCTAGTAAATTTAAAGCTGAAGTTTAGTTAAAACAAATTTGGGGATACAAAACCAGTCACATCTTTTATGTCTTATATATTGTACCCTACGTCTGGGTGGCTTCTGGTTATTGTAAACATCATTCTTTCAGTGATGCTGGATCCAACTCGCAGCAGTAATCTCTAGTGATGCATAGGCCAACTGTCACATCTGTTACAGTAAAGGATCAGCACCACTCGCCCTCCACTTCTGCCTCCCTTACCTATTCATAAAACTCCTAGTATTACTGTCACAGAATGCAAGACGTTCTGTGAATGGAGGGATCCCATCATTCACCTGTCCCTCCTCCATTCACAGAATAAGAATGTCCCAGTGGATGGTGCCGCATAGATCAACATGTAGAAGGATAAGCCACCAGCACACCAGAGGTCCACTTTATCTTCTGGTTTTTACTGAGGTCAGATAAACATGGTATCCCATTTGGATACAACGATTCAAAACCTCATGTGGTTTCTTCATCAGGCAAAGAAAAGTATGGCTCATCCTTCTACACGTTCCTCCATTCACAGAACGCATTGCATTCTGTGAACATAGTGCTCAACATAATTTTGGCATTCCCTCTATTAGTTTTTCTTTAACCTTGCACATATGATGTACTCATTTTAAAGTCCCTAGGCGAGTTGTGCATATTATGCATATAACCCATTCTGAGAAATAAATGTCTGACAGAGGTTAATAACCTCTCCACACTCTATGTAAAAAAAAAAATCCTTCTGGGAAACCCTCAGGTAAGCAGGAAGGAGTATCCTTGTATGCGAGTTTCTGCTAAAGACTGCGCAGTGACAACCAATATAAATAATGCAGTGCTATAGAAATATAGTAAAGAGGGTCAATAGTATTGTAATAGGGCATACAGTACTTGGACAAAGCAGAGGACTAACCCAAGAGTAGGAATCCCTTATCATCAGGCCAGATTACTCCTTTCCTCTTCATGTTTTAGTTGTTATATTTATATATTAAAAAAATCTTTGCTCATTTCCTCCAAGCCAAAATATAAACTGTTATCCTGTCAAACAGATCAAGACTACTAATTCTCAACAGGTTGCATGAATTAAAAAAACTAAACCCTTAAACACAAATGCTCAATCTGTCCAATAATATATTACATCCAGATCACACAAAAGAAAAATTGAGTGCCTCCAAGACTTTGTGCTATGCAAAGCACACCATAAATTTGACAAAGTCGTAATTCCTAACAGAACCAAACTTCTCCTCAAAGTGATCCCATCATTTTCCAATCTAAAATTATTACTATATGTACTGATGAAGTAAATGATGAAAATAAATATTAACCTTTCCATCTTTAGTGAGGCCGGATAGTTAAAAGGAGCTTTTGTGATAGCAGTGTGAATGAGGCCTTACATCTTGCTAAGAGCCGGCCCGAGAAGAACAGGCTGCTGCGTACAATCACCTGCAGCACCTGTCCTTCCCGGGAGCGACCCGATACGGCTGTGCACGCCTCACGGATCTGTACGGGCGGCTATTAGCAGTGTGAATGAGGCCTTACTCATTCCATTGCATTGCGGAAGATTATTCAGATTCTGTTAATTAATGTTGAAGTGTCATGTGAGAAGCAGGTTTCCTTTAAAGAAGAACTCCAGGATTTTTCAAATCAACTCTTGCAGTGCTTGCAAGGGTTAACTCAGGGCTGGACAAATACCACGAGCCAGGTAGCCAATGCTCCTTAAAAATTAAAGCTGGCGCCCCACTTTTGAGGGTTTCTCTAGTTGTTGCCAATGGAATTGACTCCTAAAAAAAATCCCGGTGGCTCCTGGATTGGGCAAACTGGTTCCTGAATTCCATATTAATGTGTCCAATCCCGGGTTAAAGAATTGTTTTGGTGTAGTGACAAAAAAAAAAAAGATATATTTATCTGTTCCTGGATCTTGCCTGGCTGCTAGACTGCTACCTGCAGCCTCTTCTCCCCTGGGCTCTGGCGTCTCCAGAGGCTCATGGACTATTTTAAACAACTGGCGTATTGCTTAACGCGATTTAGCGCGTTTGTGGGACGCGCTAAATCCCACGCATAGGAATATGCGTGGGAAAAAAACGTGCACCGAAACGCCCTGGTGTGAGCGGGGCCTTTAAGTATATAGAATAATCTTACAATCCCGTCAATTTTGAAAGACAGACAGTAAGTAAAAAGTCACACTGTGTGTGGGCTTCTTCAGTGTCTATGAATACGGGAAATAAATAAACTAAAATGAACTTCAGCTTTTAAGTGAACACAGACAGATAACAATGGAGTGATGCAAGTGGCTACACATCCAAAGACAGAAAACAAAAAACACAAGAACATTCAGTACTGGTCTCTAAAGTGAATAAAAACAAGTGTACATAAGTATGCTTGTTACCGCAATCAAAACAATCTGTGATGTGACAAAACTGATCTATTGTGACATCTGAACCGTTGTTCGATTTCCGCTCGAATACCCCATCATGCACAGACCAATGTCAATTTCGATTATCGTTTGTTAGCAATTTCATCGACCAACGAACGGATTTTCGTTTGTGCATGTACAGTGTTGCCATTTTTTTTTGTAAGAAAACGCCACTAAACCATCGATTTTCGTATGATTCTTAAAAAGTTTTCGATCTTGACCGATCGAGGAAATTTGTCCAGTTGTACATTAATTGTGATCATTCACTTCCCATCAACTGGTATCGTACAAAAACCTGACCGCGTTCGATTTCCGAATGATAATCTTTACTTCCACCTGTGTTTACAAGAAAAGAAGTGAAGGAAACATGGCACGGCATGCACTATTACTTACTCTGCTCATAGAGTCAAAACATTTCCTGACCAACGATTCCACATCATTTGGGCGATCTTGCACATTTATCCAGTCCAACAGGGAAACATTAAACGGGCCTTCTGTAGTCAAATGTCCCTCTAAAATGTCTGAATCCTGACCATAAGAATCCATAGTTTCTTGCTCAATACGATTGTCATGCACTTCCTGTGTTGTACGTTCCCCGGATGTATTGATAGAAGCTAGCAAAGCCATATTTTTTAGTTTTGTTTCTTCACCACATTGCACTAATTCAGCAGTCTTTTCATTCTCCAGTTCATCGATATCCCCTTCCACAGAGGAAATCAACCTATCTAGACACATCCTATAGCTGTGTCGTGTTAGGCACTCTAGCAGCGGAATCTTGGCCATGACGGAAACAGCAGTTCCTAGACTAGAAAATGAAAACCCAAACAAAAAAAAGTAAAATTTCAAGAACAGATCCATTCAATGGAATTTTAAGCACAGCAAAAATCCAATACAATTTTTACATGACATGCAGACCAGTATATGGAATAAATGGCTGGTTAAGCAAAAAAACAGTTGAATAACTAAAACTAAAAGCAAAAAATTCCAGAGACATGCAGACCTTGTGCACTTTAAATGTATGTTTGGCCAAAATATTTCAGTATAGCTCTACAATACATGCACATTTTGTCTTTTAAAAAATTCTAGAAGGTACAGAAAAGTACCTGTGGATCTGCCCAGAAACCCAGTGCGCTCCTAAGTTCCTGTATGAGTTTTGTGGATTACAGAACACTTCCTCATTAAGTTACAGAGATGAAGAGAGGCTAAATATGTTCTATAGATAAGCAGGGGAGGACTTCAGTTCAGTGCAGCATAGACAGAATTGTCAATTTAAAAGGAAATTTAGCAAGTCACTAGTTTCTTGGAAAATCAGCAGGTATTTTAAATAAAACAAAACATAAAGTGTCCATGTTTTTCACAGATGTACTGAATATGTTTTTTTTTGCCCAGACATTACCTTTAACTACAAGCTTGCATGTACTGTATATGTTCTCGAAAGACACCACTAGTAGGCTTTTAACAGTTAAAGAACTATGAGGTGAGTGCTTTTCACTCACCCTCATAGTTCTAGCCGACCTGTGACAATGAAACTGTCTTGTCACGGCAGCCGTGACAGGGGAGGGACTGGATTCCCCCCTCCAATTCTCCACCGCTGACTGGCGGAACGGACGGGGAAGGGGGCGGTTACAGCTGGCTCTGCCTCTAGATAGGCAGAGCCAGCTGTCACTCACGCAGCTGGACGGATCCAGACATAATTGTCGGGATCCGCTTCAGCTGCGGCATCTCAGTATACCGCAAGCAGTAGCTCGCAGTATACTGAGCTTAGGGTGACGGGAGGACGCTAGTTTGTGTCTTCCCGTTACCCTTAGGAGAACTATGGGGAAAAGCCCTAACCCCATAGTTCTCCTTTAAATAATAAAAGTCAGGCTGGGAAAGTGCAATGGCAAAAAAGAAAAATAGCACTCCGCTTCACAAACTCAAAAATATATATACCTAAAATGTGAAAAATATGGTATAAATTGTAAAAGTATCACAAAGTGACAGAACATTTATGTGTTATCCACAACACCTGTGATGCGCAATGCCTTTGCTAATGATACTTCAGAAATAACTCTTGGTCTAATGGTCTACTCTAGAGTCTGCCTCAGAGGAAGTCGATAGTGACGGAATGCATCAGGTGGGCAGATCTATGCGAGCATTACGATCATAGAGACAGGAACTCCAGTGGACATAATTCATGTGCAATTACCTTGTTTTAATTGTAAGTGCATTTTAAATAAATTTATTCTGACATACTACACTATGGGAAGCATATTTTCTCTCTCTGAGTACAAGAGAAGGTGGAAGATGGAGGAATAGTATTAGACGGTTTTGGAAAGATAAGCTAGAGTTTGGAAGAATATACCCCAATTTATTGTCAGATCTAAAAAACGAAGGAGAGGATTTGTTTCTATATATATATATCAACAAAGCGCTAACTGTTCATCTGAAATATGGTGAGCAATGAGAAATATGGTGAGCAATAGGAGTCAGTGAGTGCGGCCAGATCTTATCTTTGAGCACGGTGGAGACTGGAGAGCACTGATTCGCTAATTGTTTATGCATTCACAGACGTGGTGTGGATTATAAAAGTTAGAAGATATATCCTCACATATTTCAATGATTTTATTGTATTAACCTCCCCGGCGGTATTCCCGAGTGTAGCTCGGGGTTACTTTTCAATACCATAAGCGGTAACCCCGAGCTACACTCTGGAATGCCGCATAGCATTTACTTACCTTGTCTCTCGAGCCGCGCTGTGTTCTCCGGCCGATGCCGGCATCCGTCTTTTATCCCTTGCGAGCGTACGCGTCGCAGGGGGGTGGACCCGGCGGCAGGATATTAAAAAAAAAAACGAAAAAGATTAGAAAAAAAAAATAGAATCAAAAATGACACGAAAAAAAGAAAAAATCATACCGCCAGGGAGGTTAAGAAGGAATTGACTTCACATATGGATATGTAGATTAAGTGGGAGTTGTACATCACTTGTGAGATTTAATACAGGATTTTCTATATGTACACATTCCATGAGATATACTAGCACAAGTATATGTCTTTTTGTTAGTCACATTTTTTTCAATGTTTATTATGGCTTATAGTGTCTAGGCCAGTGGTGGCGAACCTTGGCACTGTTGGCCAGCTGTGCCAAAACTACATATCCCAACTTGCATCTGCCTCTGGGAGTTATGTCTGTAGCTGTCAGAGCCTTGCAATGCCTCATGGGACTTGTAGTTCCAAAACAGCTGGAGTGCCAAGGTTCGCCATCACTGGTCTAGGCCATTAGACCTACAGGGTTATTCACAAAAAGGGGGAAGAGTTTGGAGAAGGCAGAGAAGAGAACAATCTAGGCCAAAATAGCTGAACTTTGCAGTTCAGCTCTGTTGTCCTAGATTGTTCCCTTCTCCTGCCTTCTCCAAACTCTTCACCCTTTTGTGAATAGACCTGCAAGAGTTTTTTCTGAAGTAGCATTAGCATAGGCATTGTGCAACACAGGTGTTGTGGATAACACATAATTGGTTTATCACTTTGTGATAATTTCACAATTTATATAAAAAATAAATAAATAAAAAAAAAATCACATTTTAGGTATATATATTTTTTGTTTGTGAAGTGCAGTGCTATTTTTCTTTTTTCCTATTTTGGGTATACTCACCTATTAAGCACAGCTGGTCTTAGAGAGTTATTTGATTCCTAGTTTTTTTCTATTTAACACAACTGCGAAAGTGCAATACTGGAGATTAGGGATGCACGGATATATCGGCGGCCAAAACATATCGGCTGAAAATGGCACTTTTGGCAAAATGCCGAAAGTGTAATTTTTTTGGCCGAAATAGCGGTGCATCCGTGCTTTGTCTCCTACCCGCTGGGCGCTGCTCTGTGTTCCAGCAGGGAGGAAATAAACTGTCACAGGAAGCAGAGAAGAGCACTGTGAGCGGCCGGCGTCTCTCCTCCCCGCACCGCTAAGCCTCCTGTCACAGATCAAGAGACTGGCGGTGTGGGCGGAGACAGCTGTCATTGCGGTCACAGGAGGCTTAGCTCTCCTCCCGCACCGCCCCGCTCAGCCTCCTGTGAGAGCGTGTCAGGATGGAGAACAGGTACAAACACTCAGTGATCGTAACAGTGTTTGTAAATAATTGAGGACTGTGTCCTCATTTATGTATGCATGGGAAGTGATCTACATCACCTCCTCTTCATTCATGATTGAGGATATAATAAACATGTCCACAAGTTATGAATGAACAGGAAAACTCGGTATAGAGGATTCCTGTTCATTTATAACAGGGGACACAGATAAAGAGATTGAGGACTCTGTGTCCTCAATCTCTTTTTCTATTTTAAAAGGGAAATATCAGGGGTCTGTTTAGACCCCTAATATTTCACTAAAGCCCCTAAAAGTTAAAAAAATGTTTTAATAAAAATGAATAAATAAAAATAAAATATATTTTTTTTAAAGTTTATAAAAAATGAAATATTTTTTAAAAAAGCTAAAGTTAGAAAAAAATATATATTTTCGGTTTTGGTCTGACATTTTTTTTTCATTTCGGTTTAGTTTCTGAAATTTTCATTTCGGTGCACCTCTACTGGAGACACATCTCACCCAAGCCTGCCTCCATCATTAGCCTAGACTGATCTGAAGTTTCTCTTCTAATATCTTTGGGTACCAAAGCAGTGTTCATTTTACCTAATTTAAAAATAATCACTGTTTGGATTTACACTGTTTTACCAGGACAGCTGGAAAAATAATGCTTCTCATGTGGCTAAATATGTTTCACATTGATCCAGCTTTCAGGCGTCTAGTTAATGAACAGAAGTAAGTGATGAGTAAAATATGGCATTCATAAGCATATCACACAGAAGAAAAGCAACATCTATTCTATCCAATTACAGCATCATAATGACAATGGTGGAAAATAAACAGGCTAGGGACATTTGGGATGTGATGGCTTGTATTACAGTACGCAAGATGACGATCAAATATTATAACAAAAACTTGAAAATTATACTAGTAAATAGGGATGCACCGATGCCGGTTTTTCGGACCGAGTATAAGTACTGATATTTTTTATTTCTGTACCCGCCGATACTGAGTACCGCTAGCATGGAGCCAGCTTCCTGATTGGCCAGGAAGCAGGCTCTAAGCTTGGTTGTCACAGGAGACGAGATTAGGGAAGGAAGCCGGGCGGCGGGTAATGGCTTGCCACCCGGCTTCCTGATTGGCCGGGAAATCTCCCTCTGACCGGAAGTTCCGGTATCGGGGCTAAGTATCGGTGCATTTCGGCGAGTACGAGTATCGGTATCAGTGCATCCCTACTAGTACATGACCCTGGAAAAGCACAATTTAATGAAGTAAACAGACTTACTTAGTTAATTTCACTTTAATATCATCTATTGACTGTATATATTTTGAATATGCATTCTCAAACTTGAAAAGCAGTTTTTGGTATGAATGTGTACAATCTTCTAGGTTGGCCATTATGGCAGCCCAGCCCTGGTGCTGAAGATGCTCATCGTGAACCAGCCCTTCACAAAACGAACAAAGCTTCTTGGCAACCTCGTACATTTCCTGCACAAAACAAAGTAAATATCAAATCAGCACTTATAGATCTTTCAATATGCCAGAGTGTTGAACATTTGTAGAGTAACAGTTTAGCTTTTGTAGAATGCATAACAAACATGTATATATGTATCTTACAAAATAAGCTATAGCAGTGAATCCCAACAAGTAGTCAATAGACCATTGATAGTGTGCGAACTGATTCCTGCCCAATCCAGCATCAGGCATTATGTAGCCAGTGCAGTCTGTGCTGCCTTGGTTGAAGATCTCTGAGAGTCAGGGGAAGCCATGCTGTGGTCCTACCCATTATCATCACTGACAGCTATGACCTGCCAAGAAGGAGGTATGGGAACAGATAGGGATGAGTGAATAGATTTGATTCAATGCGGATTCGCAGAGGATGGGTTCTATAAAATGCTGCTGGCTGCCATTTTTTAGTTAGACCTCTTGTCCCCAATGTATTAGCCAAACAATGCAGTATTTATTAAGATGGTGCGGCACATAGACTTATGGATGAGCTGCGTGATCAATGATAGATCTAGTCAAATAATGTAAGATAGTAACAAATATAAGTGGACATTTCAGTAACTTTACAAGTCAGCATTAATACATTCCTGACATCGACAGCATAATCTTTCAAAGAAAAAAAAGCAGTCTATAAACACCAGTCAAGTGATTGTGTTAAGACTGAAAATATGTCATCAATCTGCTGCAGGCTGGATGAACCATTTCCTCAGTATCCTCTCCCCCAGTGATCACTTGAAAAGGTGAAATAAAAGTTGATGGGGCGCAGCAGGGCTGATCTGTGTCAGATATTTATCAAAAGAGCCAAGAACTATACAGGCTCTAGTAGTCACATGGCTGTAACTCTGGATAATATGTGAAAAAATATATTTTTCTGAAGAGAAAGACAGATACAGGCATTGTGATCATTATGATTTCTGTGGCAGGTAATAAACACACGTGTTACACTTAAATAGTTAATAAAAATGCACTTAACATGAAAAAATATATCTGATGCTAGGTCTCCTTTAATTATGTGGTACACAGCCAGCTTCATATACATGGCGCAGAGACTGGTTAATTCATTTGGTGACAAGAAGTCAGCAAATGAGGGGGAGAGAGTCCATAATGCTCTCACACTGTACAAATTATAGTACAAACGAGTCCAATAGAACCCTATACCAGATGTGTGTGCCTGACTGTGGTATGTAGATCAGGCAGTCAGGCGCTGGTCATTAATGGCTATTCTGAGGTCTGTGGTTTGGCAGTGCTACAAATGGAGAACTTCCCATTTCATTAAAAAAATTACCACCAAAATGTTACAATACACTAAAAGCATTCTGAACTTAAAGTGCATAGCAGATTTTTTTCCTTTTAGTCCTGTGGGCACATAGATAGCTTTTCAAAGACTTTGGCATCAAAATGTAACACCAGTGCTATGTATTAAAAAGGAGGCTTGAAGTTTCCCACCACTGCAAGCTGCGTCCTCGAGGCGACTGTGTGAAAGACAGCGGGCATCATGAGAGACTCTTCAACCTTTAGCTCCATTTCATTCTCTGCCGAAAATGTTGTTCTGGGAATAACCGGAGGACGCTCACACAATATCATCTCTTTGTTGAACAGAAATATTGGATTTGTGTCCTGTGGTGACAAAAAATCAAGTCAGATTACAAACATACCACTGATCACGTAACTTAAGTTTCAAGATAAAAAGTACAACTAGAGCAACTGACAGGGATAATAAATCAAAACCAACACCCTTCATTACAAGCCTCCTGACACGGACTTGCATTGCTCAAGAAGAAAATGGGTGTGTCTGACCACGTCTGTAAGGTTACCAAGTGCACTAAGGCACACTATGGTACCTATTGAACTTAACAGCTGTATTTCATCACACTGCACAATAGATATAGCAGGAAACTAAAAGGTAAGACTATCAAAATTGAGTCTATTAGCTCAAAGTCCATATGACTTTGATCTTTAAGATTGGGTAACAATTCAAATGAAATTACACAGGCAAAAGAACAGCAAGGTAGTAAAAGGCCATCTAAACCAAAATACAAAACAAAAACAGAATATAATGCAGCTTGCCAGCCCTTGGATGTGTTGCCTGCATTTGTTTTCTAGCCTTTTTTCTCTTTTAATTTCCCCCCTTGATCATGTCAGTAACACTTCCTGTCGCTATGTCTGCCTTTGTCCAACTCCATTACATGAGTTCTGGGGAGATTTTAAGTTTACAGAAGGAAGATAACATTCTTTTATGTGAAACAAAAAGTGAAAAGAACACTACAATTTCTGGAAAGATCAACAGGTAATTTATGTACATGCTGAACATTTTCTTAGACTAAAAAAAATAAAATAATGCAGCCACCATGATTAAAGACTGTTATACCAACAAAATATTAAATTTTTATTCCTAGGTTTAGTGAACTGGAAATCATACAAAAGTACTTTACACTTATCCACTTCTATGTGGTCACCTCCCAATGCTAAAGATGCTGGGAAGATGGCTCCATAAATTGCTAAAAAGACCTACCACACTGATGCAGCAAGGAAGAGTTTGACCACAAAGATTTTGGATTGAAGGAAGTATGCATCTCGGGGGATTAGGCAAGCTATCTTTTTTTTTATATAAAAGGCACTTATCCTTTGAGAAGAATCTTAATATGCTGCATTTATACTCACAGTACCAGCGCTGTAACTACAGACCCTCCTGTCTGGTGCCATACATTCGCCTCCATTTACTACAAGGATCTGGTGCTGAACGGCAATCTTGTATTTAGTCTGAATAGCATGCTTAAGGTCATTCACCCTAATTATATAGAAGAAAGAAAAAACAAAATGTTAAAATGTAAACGCAATCTGCATGAAAAAAAAAAAAGATCAAATAAATTAGCCTAATAAATGAAAATAAATAAATCACTTACATCCTTTACATGGCAGAGTGTATGCAGTAAGTTAAAAAAAAAGGCCATTCGGCTAAATGCACACCTACTATAAAATAACCAAAAATAAAAGGCACAAACAAAGTCTGAAGCTTCACGTCAATATTGCAACAGTGAGCTACTATTGATGGATATCTCCTATGTTGCAGAATTGGGACCTAGGTGCCTCCATCTTGAAAATGTGTCATGTGAGGGGTGGGGGCAAGTTGTGAAGTTCTCTGGTGTAATTAATGTAATTCCTGCCAATGCCTAACATAGGCACACACCCAGCCTCTCCTAAAGCTGGGTACACACACAGCAAATTTCGCCTAAGGCCCCATTCCCACTAAGCGATTTATCGCGCGATTTCCGCCGCGATATCGCACATTTTTGCCGACCAATGCAATTCAGTGGAGCTGTCTTAGCTCCATGTTGCCCGTCGCTGTCGCTCAGCAGGACCCTTTTTTTGGCGGATTTTGCGCGATTTGTGGAGCCCGCCGGTAAAGGTGATGCTACCGTCGCTGGATCATGGCCCCGAAAGTCGCGATATCCCAGCCGCGCAGATCCGCTGCAAAAGGTATGTCGCTTAGTGTGAATGGGGCCTTATTCTCCAGGAATAGGCTGAGATTTCTTGTGTTGGTGACCCTAGTCCTTCAGCTGAAGTCATTCAATAGATCAAATTTTGCCGAAAGAACATGTTAGAAAACGTTTGGCTGCAAGCTTTGTTCAACCAAACAGCTGCAATCTCCATTCAGGAATTCTGACAGCAGCCGGAAGCAGGGGGGATTCGTCCATCCCTACTACTTAGCACGGATATAGGAATCTGTTCTATTTTTTCCGTTCAGCTTGTGGGTTGAATTAGAAAATTTGGACCTGTATATACCCTACTTTAGGGATCGATATACAGGCCACATACAGTAACACATATTCCAACATTTGGGATTTCCACTTCTAGTACTCAGAGACAGGAAAGACATACTAATAGGTTCCCACCCGGTAATAAAATTTTTACAAGCCTAAATTTTTCAGAAATACAAATATACTTAGAAACAAAAGAAAAAATGCCGAACAATGGCACATTACTTTATTTGTGTTTTAGATTTTAAGATGAATATTTTCTAATACTGTATGTGTATACTGGAATGAACAATACAGACTAACAGATTTTCTAACCGGTCTAATCTACTGTTACCCCAACAGCAGGAAACTGGTAGGGTTCCCCATTCAGATGAGACCAAAACGTATGTACAGGATAACTTCCATCTCATCTCTATGGGTATTTTTAACGTACGGTACTCAACCAACATATCTGGGGGAAGGAAATGGGTCTATCAGCTAGCCTGGATTATTTTGGCTATTAGGGGTACATTACACTCATACGTGGCATACACACCTAAATTCCAGAGGATACTGGGCACCAAGCTTAATTTATTTGTCTCTATGAGGTCATTAAAGAGCCACATTTTGACCATTCTGCATTGTGACAGCAGTTCAGTCAGCTCAAGCTTCAGCTATAGGTTTTATAGTAGCCACAACAGACAAGAAGTAAAGCCAATCTCTGCTCATACTATAAACGATGATCGGTAATAGATTCATATTCACGACATTCCACCGCACAAGATAACGAAACCTGGCTCGCACTTCGATTTTTTTTTTAAATTATGTAGCAATTACTGCATTATTAAATGCCCAGCCAGTATAATATACTGTTGTATATGATATATAAAATCTGAATACTGCCAAATACCCCATGTTGGAAAGTGGCATGATACATGTTCCAGTTCTGCTTTAATCATATCCAGAAGATGCAGAAAAAAGGAATACAAAGCCTAGACTGAGACAAGATACAAACTGATTATTTCAAACAGTGCTGCCCAATTCATTTGCTTAAGAGTGGGCAATACTTCTTTTTACATCTGTTGCAGCCTTTGCATAAGAAAATATGACCTGACAAAATGCAAGTCATGCAGTTCTCATACAGATAATACAACTCCCAAGAGTTTTCATAAAGATTAACTACTTGTTTACTGATTTAGCATTTGAATTGAATATTTTAGCAGAAATACTACATTATGATATTAATGAAAAAGATAAGATTCGAAGGGAGTATCCCATATGAACTATTCTTAGTTCAATATAGATATTCCATAAAGTGGAGAAAAGGTAATACAAAGGTCTCGCTCACATAAAAAAAAAGAAAAAAGCATTTTCAGGAAAACGACAGCTGGAATCTGCTTGCCTGCGTAGGACAACTCCATTATCAGACGACTTCCTTTTATCTGATGTAGTAGATTTGGTGACTTCTTTCGTGGGTGAATCACACCTTTGCACCTATAGCTGGTCACACATGGTCAAATTTTGACCCTACAATTAGTATTATTTACAACTGCTGTGTAGTGAGAGGGCCTACCTGGCTGGATATAATTTGAGTGAAGTATGTAAGAAGTTGCTTCCACTATCACAGGTGTTGATAAATTCTGTTGCAGATCAAAATCTCAGGGTGTATGGTCAGTTAAGGGTGGCCACTCATTGATTTCCTTAAGGAAATATTAACAGGAGCTGTTTTAGAGAATTCAAAAATATCGCTGGCCTGGTTCAAGGCAATTATTGGACCACATCTGAACTGCAGGAAGGCAATAAAAAGCACCCCAAGCATTTGGAGGTGCCTATCATCATGTTAGCTGGAAAAGCTTCCTGCAAGTGGGTCTCAATTCTTTACTTTTCTATGTAGAGGAAAGGAGGATCAAAACTACTATCTAGCAAACAGAATCAAGTAACAGGAATGAATCTTTCCTTCCAGGAATAATTACTAGAAATAAATGTTAAATTCAAATGCACTCGCACTGATGCCAAAAAGATAGACACAATACATAGACACTGCTGGAGTCCATTAACTGTGAATGTCCTGGATGCTCAACGTATTTTCATTTCCTCTGTGAAATGTTCTTTTTAGTGAAGCTATACTTGTGCCACATCTGCATACTTTCTGTAATGAGCTCATTTCAAGGGTCCGGCTGAACAAGATGAAACAAATTATTTGTCAGCATCTGGAATGTGGTTCAATTAAATACCACAGCGTACATGATGTAGTACAACACTACTAAAACATCTTCCTTCTATCAGGCTACAAATCAATTTGTTATAGATGAAACACAGTTCGTTACTCTGCTAATCACCACGATAACACAGGAAACAAAATAGCTTTGTCAATATCTAAGAATGTAAAATAAGTAAAAGATATACATTTTATAATGAGTAAAGATGTATAGTATATGTTAATACTCATGTCCTCCTAAAATAGTATTAAATGTTCAAGCTTATTTTCAACATGGAGTCCACATCAAACAAATGTCAATTGCCCAGCAAAGTATTTATTGAATTTGTTTTTCTAAGCACTTACAGTCATCATGTTTCTGAACATCCCTGAACTTCCTGTCTAGTACAAGATCACAAGGGACAGAGCAGTCTCCAGCAGCTATTCATCTACTGGCTTGGAGAAGGGAAGAGAGAAAAGGGGGGAGCAAGGGAAAGGGAAGAGACTTGCCTTGCTGTGTCTATGTGTTCATGGAGACACAGCTTACTAGCACACACAAGGTGGCTCCATAGGACCCTTCAATAGAAAAGAGACACCCTAAAACAGGAAATAAGGGCCTATGCTCAGAGGGGTCATCTGATTCTGCAGGAAACTAAACAAGGAGCAGCATCAATTGTAAGCAATTGAAAAAGCTTAAAAACATTTTGACTTTAATATCACTTTAATCTGAGGGCTGTCTCAGGCTACCTAGAAACATGTATAATCATTCTATGAAGCATTAAAGGAGAAATATGAGGTGAGTGAAAATCACTCATCCACATAGTTCGAGCCGACGTGTGACAATGAAACTGTCACACGTTGGCTCAATAGATCGGGGAGTGAGCGAACACATACCGTCGCTTGCTCACTTCTCGATCATCTCCCTGCAGAGAGCGGTGACTGTCAGTCACCTCCAACTTCACTATCTCTTTGTATTCAAGTAGAAAACTCAACAGAACAGCTCCTAGTAAATTATCCCTACAGATTTAAAAGAGAACTATGGCCCAACCTTTTTTACCCATAGCTCTCGTTAAGGTCACAGGAGGACGTTTACCATGTCCTTCTGTGACTCAAAGCACAGAGCCGTGCTGCAGCCTAGATCGATCCCAACTATATTGTCAGGATCCACCCCACCACCTGATTGACAGCCGGCTGTGCTTCTCTGGAGGCAGAGCCAGTTGTGCCCGACCCCTCCCTTCTCCATCCCTCCGGTCAGCGTTGGAGGATCGGAGAGGGGGGAATCCACGTGGGGAGGGTTGACTGACAGTCACCACTCTCTGCTGGGAGAAGATCGGGAACTGAACGATCACCGGTATGCGAGTTCTTAATCTTTAGAGCCAACGTGTGACAGCTTCGGTTTTACACGCCGGCTCTAATTATGGAGATGAGTGTATTTCACTCTCCCCATAATTATCATTTAATTGCCAAAATGAAAGACTTCCAACCTGGGAAACAAACACCGACCCATCTTCAAGAATGTATGCTATGCAACATGCTGTACTCACTCCCTTTCTGTCATGTGCCTGAGAGATCCATTTGTAATAATTGTGCATGTCTTACACTGATCTATAGCAAAAAAAATGTAACAAAAGTATTGTACAAGAAAATTGGCATTTAAAAAGAATTTCTGAGCAAGTGAATTGAAGAGGTGACGCAGCCTTGTCATTGAAGGTCAGGCACCTTATAGAATCTGTTGGACAGTGTCAATTTTATTTTGCTTTACAAAACATTTTTATATATTTACTTTAAAAAAAGTAAGAAAAAGTAAAATATCAAAAAAAGTTTACTTACGTTTGTACAGCAAGCTCAGTGTCAAATGTGAGGGTGATTCCAGTGTTCACCAGAAACACATATAACTTCATGATGACTGCTCTATGTTCCTCTGGTGCCCACTTTAAACTTTGCTGTGCTCATTTAGAAACTGTTAAAAGAAATACTATTGTAAATGTAATGTAAGGGTAACAGCACTCCACAACAAAACTATTTCATACAAATTGGCAGTACACATTTATTGCTACAAACAGTACATCGCAATCTATTTCATTAGCATTTTAATTAAAACACATAGTTGTTGACATTAACTAGGGAAGCACCTATACCGGCTTTTCGGTATCGAGTACCGATACTTTGATTTCGATACAGAGTACCAAAACCGGTGCTTCTGCTGGCATTTCCATGAGGAAATGAAGAGGAAAGATAACAAAAAGCATACGTTTCTGTGTTCATATATAGCAACTGCATATGCCTGCTTCATGTCACTCACTGCACATTGCTGGCAATGTTGATTTAAAAAAAAAAAATACCTCTGCAAAGGGGGAAATGGGCTTTAAAGTGTATTTTCACTTTTGCCGTCACATCTGGGACCCCCCCCATGATATGAATGTTATGTGTTCACTTCCACACAGCAAACCTAAAAATACATTTTGAATTTTTTTTTTCTAACCTTTCTGATATTTCTTTGGTGAAGACCTTTGTTTAGATTGCAGGTTACTCTGAGCAGTTTGATAGTGAAAGTAGAAGGCCAAACTGAGGGGGGGCAGACTGAACTTTCTCTCTTTAACTTACAATGCTTCTAAGCCTTTCACCCTTCGTTAAAGAAGAACTCCGGGCAAAACTTTTATTAACCATTGTAGTGGGACTACCATGTACTGCAAGGGTTAACTGTTTGTTTTTGTCTAGGTGCGGGGGGAAAAAAAAGTAATTATACTCACCTGAACTGTGGAGCTGGCTTGCTCTTAGACCAGACCTCCCAGCCTCTATCCCCCTCCACCGCAACGGTCTAAGGTCCCGTACATCATCACTTTCTATACACTCGGGTGAGTATAACTTTTTTTTAGCACCTAGACGAAAACGAGCAGTTGATCCTTGCATTGCAAGGGTAGCCCCACTGCAAGGGTTAATAAAAGCAATGCCCGGATTTCTTTCTTCTTTAAGACAAATCTGCTTTACAACTGATAATGAGATCTGCCAGCACAGTACAGACAAGTTAATATAAAAAAGTAAACATAACTTCCCACAGCCTATCCCCTTTAACAATACATGGGTGGGAGCTAGGTAGGATTTTTAAGCAAAAGTACTTAAAATAAAAGCAGATAAAAAAAAAAAAATTCAGATATGCTATGTGAAAGGGAACAAGTAACACATATAAAATGGGTGTTATCTCAATTTGGCTGCAAAAAAGGAAATACACTTTAAGCACTTTGAAAGAGGCTTTGTTTGCATTGCACTGCACAATACCAGGGAAACCACTTTGCTTATTTATCACACTCTCACAGACCATGTTAGACTACATTTGCATGTCTGTGCTTTTTGTAGAGTACAGTTGGAGTACAGTGAGTTTTAGACATGTTTAAAGTGTATGTAAACCAAAAGTCTGTTTTTTAATATGTTTGGCATCATACCTCACTGTGTACAATTTTCTTTGTGAATCTACTGCAGAGTTTCTTAACCAGAGATCCTGCCAGTAATAGAACTTGCTGTTGCAGGTTGACAATACTGCTGCCACAGTCTCGCAGGTAGCAGCGACAACGCTGATGGCATTCATGAGGAGGTGGCTTAGTGTTGTTAGCCTCCATTAGGAAGTGTTGTTATTGGCAGGATCTCCAGGTCAGAAACTTTGCAACAGATCCCAAATACGATTCGCTTAAGAAGAGGCATGAAGCCAAAAGTCCTGAAAAATGCAAAAACGTTAGGTTTCCTTAATGCCTATGGAAGAAAAGTATTGTTGGAAATCCCACTAAAGACACTAAGATACCCAATTTACATGACAGGTCCTCTATATGGAGACATCAGGGGATGTAGGCACACCTGATGCATGTTTGTGTATGTGGGGGCGGAGACTTAAAAAAACATTTAGTATTTTTTTATGCTTCTGTAATTTTTTTAAATTACTTTTTGGTTTTTTTTACACTTAACTTTATTGCTAATCACATAGCGGGATAAGAATCCCCCTATGTAATAGCCAATTTACATGACAGGTCCTCTTTATGGAAACATCAGGGGTCTCCAAGACCCCTAATGTAACCTAGGGACCCCCAAGAGAAGCTGCTGAAGCAGAGATCTGCTTCAGCAGCTTTTCTAGCTGGGAATGACAACTGAATAGGGAAGTGATGTAATATACATGACTTCCTGCATTCAGGGACGAAGAGGAGCTCAGAAGGAGATCATGTACCGATCTCCCTTTGATCTCCTGTCACAGAGCAGCCGTGCCGGTACCGGATCTCAGGACCAGCAGTGGCTGCGGGTGTAAAACCACAGCTAATACAAACGATCTAGAGACGCCCAATCGCTTGAATGTAAACCGCCATCCAAGAAGCTACTCGTCCGGCTCCGGCGAGAGGATGAGTGAATTTTCAAGCCCTGCACATAAGTATAGGTAGGAAAAACAATTCTTATAAATATGCACTGCAATACAAAGCAATACTATCAATGCAGCATAATGAAAGCAATACTTTTTACATGAAAGTTCTTGGTGATTGTTTAATTTCTAAATTTTTCCATAAAAGCCATTACAAAATGCATGACTAAGTAAACAGGGATGAACATGCACTTTGGATTAACAGCTGTCTGTCACAGATATACTTCAAAAGCCAAGTGCATTCCCACTCACTATGTTAAGAGGTGACTGGCAGGTCAGTTTAAACTAATAAATATTACCAAATGGACACACAAGAACACCATCAGGATTGGGATTTAGTTCTTGTTAAACAGTGAATAAGTTGAAATAAGAGTTAACGGCCCAGTCACACGTGTTTGTTTCTCAGCAGTGAAATGCATGTACTTTAACACATGAAAACCCAATTTGGGTGAAAAATTTGGATTGAATGTAGTCGGTTCTCATTACTGAGCTGTAGTGGAGTTTATTTTTTAAAAAGTACACAGTGTACTTTTCCAGGTGTCAAACATGTCCACTGAAAGAGCTGTAAAAAGTTAAAAATTAATGTATCGTGCTTTTTATCTGTTTTTCAAATAGCTGTACCATGGAAAATGTATTTGCATAAGTCATGAGCAAAGAACGCATTTACACATTTATTAACATGCGCATGAAAGAACAAGTTAAAAGAGAACTATGGTATAACCTTTTTATGTATGAGTGACAGCAGGCTCTGTCTATCTAGAGGCAGAGCCAGCTGTGCCCGCCCCCTCCCTGTCCGTTCCTCCGCTCAGCGTTGCAGGACCGGAGCTGGGAGGGGGGAAATCCCTGCGGGGAGCGGTGACTGTCACAGAGATGATCGGAAAAGTGAGCGAGCGACGGTATGCATTCGCTCACTTCCCGATCTATAGAGCCGACCTGTGACAGTTTCATTGTCACAGGTCGGCTCGAACTATGAGGTTGAGTGAAAATCACTCACCTCATAGTTCTCCTTTAATGCACAATAGTGCATATGAAAACAAACACAATAACACACAGGACAGTGTGCACTTGAAAGAATCCTTAAGTTGACCTTGACGTCAATTTTTTTTTCTATTATTCACTTGCAATGTTCCTTTGAATTTGTTAGAAAATGTGACTACTGTGAAAATTTGTTAGAAAATGTGACTAAATGTAGCACAGCCCCCTTCCTTCTTGTACATCATAGCACGCTCCTCTTCCAGGAGTGTCTAATTACTCTCTGTGATTACACACTATCACCCTCCCTCCTTCCCATACATACAGATGTGGTCACATAAGTTGTTACCCTTCCACGAATAAAGTAGAACCCACAACTTAACCTAAGTGAAGAAAGTAATTGGCATCCATCATTATTTACTCTATGCTGAATGAAAATTAGACTTTGCTTTTGATTCAGCAGAATATTTCAAATAATAAAACAAATTAAAATGGCAAGGACAAACATGAAGGGACCCGTAATCTAACATTTTGTTGAACAACTTTCAGAGGCAATCGCTGTAGCTGTAGATTAGATTTCTGTAGCTCTCATTGAGACTTTTGCACCTGCCCACAGGTAGTAAAGGTGCCCATACACCTTACGACCATCGCAAGACTTTTGTCTTGCGCTGGTCGTATGCTTATTGAAAGCTTGTACGATCTGCCAACCTTGGACGGGCAGATCGTACTTGCGATCATCGAAAGCCCGCCCTGCTGAGGGGCGGGCTTCCGATGACCGCAATGCAGAACGGGCACAGCGGCCCATTCCGCAGCTATCGGACGAGCAGGCTAGAAACCCGCCGACAATCGTACGATTCTCGGCGGGTTTTCGAGCATGTTGGTTTGACAAAAGACGTGCGACCGTACAGTAGAAACGGTTGCACGTCTTCGTTCACACTGCTCGATTCTCGTACGATCGCGGGATTTCGCCCGATTCTCGTATGAGAATCGAGCAGTGTATGGGCACCTTTAGGCTGCTCTCTTTGTGCTCCATCTGTCTCAGGTTTGAAGGTTGCCTTCTCCAGACTGCAAGTTTCAGCATTTTTCATAGATGTTTAAAAGGATTCTGATCAGGGACCAAGGAAGGCCACTTCAGAATAGTCCAATGCTTAGATCTTAGCCGATCTTGGGTGTTTTTAGCTGTGTATTTGGGGTCGTCCTGTTGGAGGACCAATGATCCGCAACTGAGACAGTGAATTTCCCTCCAGAATTCCTTGGTAGTTTTGAATTTTCATTGTACCCTGCAGGTGGTACATAACAGCGTACAGTACTTCCATGGCAAACACAGATCAAGTAACATATCTTTTCTTTATACATTCTTCAGTAGAAAAGACTTTCCATGCATACGTGCCACAGTGATCACCAGATTAGTTTATAACAAATAAGATATCACTCATACATTGTAAAATCTTGGTTCACAGAACACTAAATTAAAAATACGCTGATACATCCTTACACAATGCAGGAAGGCCACATGGCCTATTTATTTTATTTTGTGCAGCACTGTTTTCCGTTAAACTGAACCTGTGACCAGGCTGTAGACATTCAAATATTTATAAACTGTATCTATAGCTCATCTGACCCTGCTTACCCCTTTTCTAAAGGCCCATTCACACCATGTCTGGATCATCTCCAGACCAGACTGTTTCCAGACCCAAAATGCATCCCTATGCTATTTCTGGCCTCTATTCACACCAGCGCAGTCCATTCCAGACCAGAAAAATACTGCATGTCTCATTTTGTCTGGTCTGAAATGCACTGGAACGCATAAAAACCGCACTGGAATGCACCTGTAAGACCATTTTAAGCAAAAAAACACAAACAAATTCCAAACGTGCCAAAATTGCAGTAAAAACGTGGGGAAAATGTAATGCACTGCGTTCCAGATCTGGTCCGGAAAATGGTGAGAACCCAGCCTAAAAGTTGTTCAGAAGTCTTTCAGCTGTCTAATCTCTAATGTAAAAGCAGTGTAGGTGGTGCAAAGTGATCTAAGATGCTGTGAGAATGCTGTGAGGACTTTAGTGCTTCTGTTTTGAACTTTGAAGATTATTCACTCCACGTTACCTGCAGCATACAGCGGTCAGTGGGTGCTACTTATAAAGCACTTATTACTGCTGAAGAATATGAATTGAATTTTCATAGCCTTACCACAAGTCAGCTTTAAAGTGGAGTTGGTTGTTAAAAATGATTTATGAAACATACAAAGATGGAAAAGGTAGAATAAAGAAAGAAAAAAAAAAAGAAAAAACTAAAACTCTGACTTAAAATGAACAGAACTAGAAACTAAACCTATAAAATGTTACAAACTGCATTTTTATAGCAAATACTGCAGAGGGCAACATCCTAATTCCTCCAAGAAAAATACATATGTTAATCATTTGATTGCCGTTTCAAAGAACAGTGTGGTCTTGGCATTCTGCAGCAATACAAGGCTTTATGAAGCAGGAAAGCAATTTTGAACAAAATCTTTATAAGACTACCATTCTAATTTGAACTTTATTTTCTTGAATGGGCTTTCCCTATCACACAAACTTACTCAAATGTATTAAAAGAAACCCATCAGGAAAGAAACACGGAGCCTGCCATCACTGGCACATACATCTGAAAATGTTAGTTCTCTCTCTCTCTCTCTCTCTGCTATGCTGATCCCCTTGCTTCAATAACTATCTGTCTTTCCTGATGATATTTGTGATGACACTTGAATACATTCACAATCACAAATAATTCACACTATACTCTAAAATTACTTCCTATAGCTAAAACGACCTCCAGTTAAAAAAAAGAAAATACTTTTTTGCCTTTTTTTTTAGCTTTTCGCGGTGACCGCAAAACCATCTGGAGATCATCTCCAGGCCAGAATGTTTCCGGACGCAAAATGCATCTTAAATGTATCCCTATAGTATTTCTGGCTGTTCACACCAGCGCAGTCCATTATAGACCAGACCAGACCAGACAAATACTGCTTGTCCTATTTTGCCTAGTCTGCAATGTACTTGAAAGCATCAAAACACATACAAACGCACTGGAACGCACCTGTAAGATCCATTTTAAGCAACAACAAAAATTCCAAACCTGGCAAAATCACGGCAAAAACGCAATGTACTGTGTTCCAGATCTGGTCCAGAAAATGGTGTGAACCTGCCCACAATGCGTTACAACACAATAGCCCAAATTCACACCCACCTGTTTTTTGCAACTTCGCTACTCAATACTCACTATGAGCAGCTGGAGTTTTGACAGAGAGGCTCCTGCTTAGAGTTGCTACCAATCAAAAAGGGCAGTGCTGGGCAGGGGGCATGACAACAAAACTAACTACAGGAATACAGACACGGCCTGTAAAGGAGTGCCGACATTCGGTGTCCAGTAGCCCCAAACACCAAACTCAGGGAAGCAAACTGACCACACTTCTGCTTCTGTGCTTGACTCAGTAAGATTTGAAGAGAAAGAGAGGTTAACTGGCAGGATCAGCGGGTATTTCATAAGAAATCACTGAGAATTGACATACCATCATGGCCATGGCCATACCATCAGTATTGATACCCTTTTTCCCAAAGAATCCCACTTTGCTGTAAATTATGCCAAAGATAATACAAATAAATGTCATCCACCGTTCTTAATTTCAGAGTCCATACAGAAGACTTGCTTTATGATTTTTGACAAATTATTGTATTTATACACTTGTACTTATATTAGTACCCTTTAGAAACTCAGACATTGTTGGATTTTAATGATCTTCCAAGCGGACAAACAACTTTAATTAGTATCACATGTGCCTTCAACCTTCGTAGTCACTTGGCCTCTTCGAATGGAGAAAAGTACTCACTCCGGCACTTGTGTCATAGTGTGTAGCACAGTGAAGATGGGTAAGTGAAAGAAAAGCAGACAGTTGTCTGAGGAGTAAAGGAAGAAAGTAGCAGACAGGTATGGTAAAAGGTAAAGGCTACAAAGCCATCTCCAAAGAGCTACATCTGTGACCACCGTTGCTAATATTTATAAGTTTATGGTCCATGGGACCATAAACCTCCCTGAACACAGCCACTAGAGGAACATGAAACATAAGAAAAATACGAATGGTAGAGCCTAGGAAAACTTCAAAAGAAATCCTAACTAGCCACCAAGATGGATGTACAACAATATCAAGTTATATCATTTATCACTGCCTGAATGAGATCAGCCTCCATAATACAAGAGCCAGGAAGGCAAATGGAGTTTGCTAAAATACATGTTACAGGTAATTACAGTTCTGTGGGATATCCTTTGGGCACAGGAAACAAATGTAAAACTTTTTTGTAAGTCACACCAGTTCACAGAAAGTGTCTGCTTTATAGATGCTGAAAAGGTAGAGGGATACCAATACTTTTGGCCACAACTGCATAAGGCAAGCTCTACAAGCAAATGCATATGTTTAATATTAATTTTGTCCTTTGTGCCCCTCTGTCCTTACCTAACCCACCCTCCTCCTCCACAAATGCATACCTATTTCAACCCAATAGGTGCGGCCCCCAGTGTTTGTTTACATCCAGTGCCGCAGGCCTCGCTGTGCTGGCTGTATGACTCATTCCTCCTCTCTCATTTGACAGTGCTGGTGCCTCATGGCTGGCTGAGTGTTGTCACATTTAGCTGAGGAAGTCCCCAGCCCAGTATGATCTGAAACAAGTCGGTTTGAAGTTTACAAAGGGCTATCTTTCCTAGCTATCAGTGGCTGAATAGAGCATTGTGGGAGCTGGAAAAAGCAAGTATGTGAAGTTGGGAGGTAGGGCTGCAACAATTAAATCGACATAATCGATTATAATCGATTATTGAAAAAGTTGTCAACTTTTTCAATCATCGATTAATCGGTATCCGATTGGTTGGCCCTGTTCACGGATTGGGAGGGGTTGGGAGTTCCCAAGTGAAACTTTTACTTTGCCCTGCACAGGCAAAGGGAAAGCACACTTTAAAGCCACAGGTCAGCAAAACAGCCAGGCAAATTGCATTTTAGCAGGTGATCAGCAATGCTACCCTATATTTCTCCTATGACAGGATTACTCTGAAGTGCAAGGCAAATCAACATTGTTAGCTGCCTTTGGCAGCTAAACATACTTTCTGTTGCTTCCCCTTTGCTGTGTTCTTGTGCTGTAGGTGAAGAGAAAAAGCCCTGAGTAAATTGCAACATGGAGCTTATAGAGGTGGGGCTTAAAATGAACCTAGTCACTTTAAGCCAACTACATTTCCAGCCTGGACTTTGTAATAAAGAATAGAAAATATGGAGGCTGATTAGAACAACATCAAAATATGTGAAAAATAAAAGGAAAAAGAAATATAGACTTGGAGACATTGTGATTTGAGATAGGAAATTATGTGAAACTTTTAGCAGGTGATTCTACGTTATTCTACTTCGGAGTGCCGGTGTCCATAATTTCCTATACTTTATTCAGACGGTGGCCATCCGTCGACTACTGATGCACCCAACCTATCATTACGGATTAAGCGGTAAGGAGTGCAATGGGTACACGGATTGTTACTGATTGTGATTTGAGAGTCCCTAAAAAATGGAAGTCTTAGGGTCAAATCTTGAGAGTTCCTAGACAATCTATCCAGCAATGTACAGTGGTCCAGGAAGTGTCATGGTGTCAGAGAGTGAACACATCTGCTGGACTCCAATGCACTGACAGGTGTTGTGCTATAGACATGCTGAGCTCCTGTGTGTGGCTGGGGACAGTGGCCCATGTGTGCCCAGCACAGGACTGGACAGGGAGCTGAGGATGCTGGATTCATACACAACATCTGACAGGGGCCTGAGTGTCCAGGCCGGGGGAGGAGATGTCAGCTGGGATCTCTGCTCCCTCTACACACCATTCACAACAAAGAGCTGCACCATCCCATATGATTCCTCTATCCCATCTGCCCAGCGGTGACCCCCTCATACCCGGGCAGAGTCCGGCTGCCAGTCAGGAAGGTTCCCCTTGTTATTGTTGTTGTTGCTGACGATTCAGCATCGCTCAGGCTGCTTGTTTCCGGTGTGACGTGAGATCAGGCATCCCTGGGATCCCTTTGGATGTGCACGCTCCTTGCTTGTCCCTGCTTGCCACTGAGATGTGCAGACTTCAGCAGTGCAGTCTCCCAATCAATCCCTTAGTGATTTGTATTAAATAGGAGAACAGTGTGGTAAGGGTAACCATACATGTTACTACCAGATTGTATAATATCTGTCTACACTTTTTATTATATAATAAGAGGGCAAAACTAAATAATCAATGTCATTTGTATCCAATAACACACTTCTTTGCACTTCATTGTAACTGGTGGATCTAAGGTCTCATTCACAAAAGGTGGCAAGGGGTGATAACATTAGACTGTTGATGTGTGATTTTAGCACCC